ACATTATTAGATTGCAATGCTACAATCAAGCTTGAAAAATTTTTTTATTTCGAATATGACTGGTCATAAACTCCCTATTCTCGAATGTTGTAACTTGCTGATCAGAGATGATAACTGTTAAATTATAACCTGTGAATTTTTGGTTACTGATTGCGGACCATTTATCCTGGGGCTATAGAGTTTAAGAATGCCTCAAGTATAACTCTTCCTACTGATCAATGTAAATATTTCTGATAAAGTGTTTGATAACGTGTTGACTACAAAAGTCAAGTGCAAAGATTTGAGATAATTGAAGTGAGTATTCCTTATACATTTCTTGTTTTAATATAATGGGAATTTTTCAGTGGTTACATAAAGCCCGACATTTGCATAAGCTGTGTGCTAGCTAATAATCTCTTTGTTTATTGATACGCCCCAAATCCAAGTTAAAAACATAATATACTTACAAGTGTGTCCACTGTGTTATTCCTAATTTCAGCGCTGGTCTATTTGAGACTACCAGAGTATTTGTTGGACAGTACTGGAAATTACGAGTTAATATGCTAAATATTGATGATCTGCAATTTTACCCTCATCTGATTTTCAGCTAGCCGACAAATAACTTTACACATTCATTGTATTTCATATGTACATAGTAGATTTAATTTCGTGATTTATATATCCACAGTGTTTAGCTATTCTTTTGTCCCGAAACATTTCTATTACGCCAGATATTAGGGATCCGTCTGGTGGAAAAAAGTAACCACTTCAATTATTTTAATGACAAATTTCTTTGATCGTTTCATTATAAAAGGGACGAAATGAAACATTAAACGATTTTGATAGTTCCATCAAGTATATACGGTGATACAGGATATAGATAAGCCCAAAACACATTACAATAATAGTTCGTTTAAATCAAACAATTCAGTTGAAGTTGAAGAAAGTCATAATTACCGTTACAACAATATACTTATCAGATAACCAGTTAAATAACTTTGTACTCTTCTAACTTTAAAGAACATGTGATTATATAATACATGAAAATACAAGGTAAACCCACAAATACTAAATCTTACCATATACAAAACTAAGACATTTATCATACAAGATTGAGTAGTAGGAGGTTTATGTTTAATTTAATTCACAAATGAAAAATGATATGATAAACAAGTTAATGAAAATATCAGATGGGTTTTTGTGGAGATTGTAGTAATTTCAATGGTTAAGATCATGAGTCAGTTGAAGCTAGATCACCATGGAAAACCTGGAAGCACTGGCCGTCCAATGCTTCCAAGTTAATGAAAGTCAAACAGAAGCTTATATATGAGTTGACGATAAAAATAAATCCACATATACATAAACTGAAGCTACAGAAAACAACCTCCAAATAATCACATTGTCATTTATTCTTTCCACCTAACCATTCCCAATGTGAGAAGAATTATTTGAAGAAATGTAACAGTGAAATAAACATGACCGCTTCTCTTTCATTTAACTTTTAAAAAAACGCACTTACATCTTTTGGAGCAGCAGTTGTGAACATTCCATTAAAGATTGAATCAATGTTGGCCATTTTCATTGCAGCTCTAAATGATTAATAATAGTGATAGGAATAATAATAATAATAATAGTGTATATAATGTCTAAATCTTAAGTACAGGAGAGAATACCTGTTCCATGATAACCGAATAGTTGAAATGATTCATTTTTTACTTCAACTTTTAAATGGTCAAATTCCATAATATTTTAACAATTCTCATTATTGCAAATGATTACAATGAAAACTGTCTAAGCTTAATCAATCAAATACCACTACAGAATACATGAAATGTGGCTAGGATTAGAAACTAAGAAACCATTACAAACTGAATTAGATATCATTACTGTTAGAATGGATATCATTATTTATGAGAGGTAGATCAATATGTTGAAATGATTGAGGTGATTAACTAGTCATAATCAATACGTAAAACTTGGCATAAATATGGGTTAGTCTAAGTTGCCACACTATATCACCATGATGAAATAAAATTAACACAAGTTTAAAATGGTATAATTTGCAGCATCAATGTTGTAAAGAAATATTGATGAAGTCAACAATTGTCATTTCATATTTGACAGTTAATTATCATTATCATTATGTTGTTCAACTTGGACTATTCGATGGAAAGGCGTAGAACTAATGAAGTATGTACATAAATGACTAGTCATTCTTACGCCCCCAAACGCCCTGGTACGGTTAGGGGTGGGGAAGGTCAGATCTTCTCCAAATGTTCTCACATGGACACGCCTTGACAGCAACTGACAACGACGTCCTACTCACTGCCTTCTCGAAGCAAGGGTATTGTTTACGAAATTGAAAGGACGAAAAGCGAATGTCCGGTGCTTTAACCACGTTGGTATAGATGGATACGGAGGATACACTTAGAGGAGTTTGAAAACCCTAAATTCAAACCAATCGCGCACATGGACTCCAGGATCTTAAGGAAACAAATGGCGTATGAACCCAATGATGTTCACCTACTAACATGAGATTGCATCTCCTAACGTTGCTTCACTGCCTTGTGGATTAGACCACTAGATCAAAAGCTCGGGGAGTGGTCTTTTAAGAAAACCACCTGCTTCTGTCTGGGGACCCGTGCAATATCCTGGCCCTCACACAAATCAAATGACGAAGTGTTTCGCATATGTATTTGGTGCCTTTTTGTACCAAAACTTATGTGTTTAAGTAAATAAATAAATAATCATTCTAATATCTATGTTATTCCACCTATAACTGTGTCACTATTTATACGATGTGTACTCGATTGACTAGACAAAGATGTATTTCATCACTTAGACAAGCAACCACGGCACAGTAAGTGGGACAAAATTAAATGTTATACAATATGCTTCATACTTTATAAACAATTAGATATTATGATCATGGCGATAACAAAAAAAGCCAAATGATCCCATTTTTTAACATACCTCCAGGTATTGTCTTACTGGCCTAACTATTCAAGCCACTCAAAAGACTGATTCTGGTCATGCTATCCCACCAACATTGTCTTTTGAAAATTCTCATATAGTAAAATAAATAAATCCAAAAAACTAATGAACCAAAACCTTTTACAATGTAGAGGTGTTAACATACCGGCAACCTGAGCCTAAATAATGTGTACTAACGTCTCACGTTCAATCTGTTATCTTACTACTATGGTTGTTAAGTGAGTTCCAATTTTTCGTATCTAAACGATCAAAACCATCATTGAGGTATTTTAATTTTTTACACCTAGTAATACCAGTTACTACTTCTAAGTATTGTCTTTCTTCATCAACTTTTCCATTTTCGTCCAGTGAATCATTATCTCTCATATTTATCAGCCACCATTTTACTACCTTTTGTTAATAACTCAGTGGGTTCCAATCCTAGAGGGAAGAATATCAGTTCCCTTACGATTGCAAGTACACCTAGCTGATGGGTGCAAACTAGCACGAAACCTAGATTTATTGTTATGTCGACTGATTTCAACCACTGTACAGTCTACACATCTCATTTGATCTGAACCATTATTCCACACTCTCCATTAGTTATATAATTACTATGGATCTTTGCACTGGAATTTTTGGCAACTAACTGTCAACTAACAGATCATAATAATATTGATTATAAAATAACAAATAACAAAACTAATACATCATCATATTTACCTGTTCATAAAAATCCCCTTCTTTATCAATTCATATGGATTACAACGTTCATGACTTTTAGTGACATTCAATTTTGATAAATAATCCAACTGATTCTATACATAAGTAAGAAGACGAATGAGAAAGATGATTAGATTATCATCCCAAATGTAATACAAAGACAAAAGAGGAAAAAAATGTGCAGCCAAATTAAACGCAGTCTATGTAATCAAATGTCAATTGCTGGATGTTGAATACGATTTTAACAACATTCTATAATAACTAACATGTGCTTACCAATGACTAACTTTGAAATGTGATTCGCGAAGTTATAGTGAGAAGTTGTGACTAGTAGAGTTCGACTATGTCGGGGGTGAGAGAAGTATCATCACTGACAATGGATGACTTGCGAAATATTACGAGTTATTTTGGAATTAGACATGTTGGCCACTGGATATCAACTCAATAATCTAAAGGTTAAATGCTCATAGTTAAACCTGAAGGTTCTGAGTTCTATCCTCAATGGTGGACCCATAAATACTCACTACTAAGTGATCCCACAGTGGGATTAGACAGTTGTCCAGAGCTTCCTTATTTCCAATGAATGCTTAACCGAAATCAGTTCGTGATGTTAAACTCCAAATACAAACTAACCAACTCAAATCCGTAGAAAAGAACAAGATAATTCACTCAATTCTGAAATATCACCAGTAACCTAACCAGGGGTTCGGTTACCGATATCCATTCAAGAGACTGAGAGTCGCAACGCAATCACTCAGAAGAAATCAACTCAGATAATAAAATTTGTTATTATTGAAACTCGAAATTCAGAAGTGAACAGAGAATAAATACACTCGAACCCCCTGAAATCAATTTTAAACAACATTACCATTGATTACGATTGAGATGACGCCAACCAGAAGGTCTATACATCAACGCGGGGATTACTGAGACAGAATATTCTTGAACTTATCCCACTTCCCCATTTGAATGTCCCCAATTTTCTCAAAACCTAGTTTTATACTAGTACTGGACATACAGTAAACTAAATGGACGATTAAAAATGTGTGTAAATGTCTCGAAAATAAACTAACAATCAAATATTCTACTACTTTTTTACAAAACATATATAACTATGTAAACTAGTTGAGAAACGTCAGCGAACCTTATAATTTAGAACTTCTTGAACAAGATGGATCGAGCAGAATTTATCTTCATTATCTAACTCTTCAATAGGCGGACCTAAAGCCTCCGGTTCATCGGGACTGATAATTAGAGAATTCAATTCCAATAAGGAATTAATAGAAGGTCCGCCTTCCATTGACCATGACCACGTACGATCTCCATCAGCTGTAGTATAATCATCATCACAACCTTCATGCCAGACTAAATTTGGATTGGAAGATTGATAGAGTTCGCCTGAGAATGATTCAATCTTTTTATCAGATGACGATGTTGTTCTTACTGAACCGAGACCACTTCTGCCTTTTTGTTTACTCAATGCAACCGGTTCAACTACACCGTGAGCATTAACACCCAATCCTTGACCATGTTCATAACCCATCTTTCGCTATTGACCCAAAAAAAATTTTAAACAAGAGAAATTGTAATAGGAAAGTTAAGCATTTATTTCTGTAATTTAAGTGAGTATATAAGCAGATTTTTCAATTAATTTACGACAAACGACAGTATCACTATAAGCATACATTTCATTTATTTTCAAACTTAACCCTTCTAAATATATAAATATCATTTTCTATTTATTAAGCTTGTCGTTTACCGTAATGTTGCAAGAGCGTAATACCGGCTAGTTAATTGTATGCTCTCTTGTATTTAGATTATCATATTTGAATAAGTGGTAATCAGTCATCTATCTTTATTTCATTTGTATACACATATCTAATGCTTCAAATCTTTTATTTCACGCATATAATTTAACTTAAATTAATTTGAGAAGTCTTGTCAAAGCGTCAGTGCTGCTTAATCTCACATGGGACACGCACTCAATAACCAGACAGTCTGATCAACTAGATTTGAGCCGAAATAAGTTATTTTTGGGGTAATATAATAAGTAGAGGCATATATTACAATAGAGATATGCGATGTACTAGATATTTCTTTATTCGCTGACCAATCAGGTCACTTCGGATTGACATATCAACTACATAAATAACACTATGTTAAAGCTCACGACGTTACTCGACCGATTCGAAGCTATTCTTCGAACACTAAACTCCTTCACTAGATAACCTATAGTATTCTAATAATACTGTAACTCTAAAAAAAGCATTACGTTGCCCACAGGGCACTTCGATATTCAAGACTGATGACAAAAACGTCCCGAATAAGTACGTCTTCAGCTAGAACTTACCATAATTTTCCAAGCTACATCGTCAAGTGGATCAGATAGCTGTAAAAAAAATAGACAAGATAAAACCTATTGAATGGCATGCTTTCCATTTAAATCTTTTTGTGCAATGAATATAATTTTATTTAGAATGTATTTTGCCTAACGATTGTCCGTCAGTCAGTTATAAGAGACAAAAGAATATGCATCAAGTAGACATCGACCCACGGTGATACTCACATCAGTACAGCGAAATGAACTTATTATTATTATTATTATTATTATTATTATTATTAGTAGTAGTAGTAGTAGTAGTAGTAGTAGTAGTAGTAGTAGTAGTATCAGAGGCAGTAAAAGACTAGATATAGAATGTAATTCGTGAATAAATTCGCGGAATGAAAAGTATAATATTGGGAAACTCAGGATTAAGAAGGTAAACAAATTAAATGGATCTGTGCCGCTGTAACAGACTTCTAACTGTTGCCAAAAGTCTCCAACTATTGGTCACCATAATCTTCCCCCAAACAATTGGTCTCAGCTATCAACATAAGGCCAACAATTAACTTTATCAACTGACTCCCTTTCTCAGTTTAGTTTTTAGTAGTTTTTTAATAACTTATAATATCAACAAAATATATATCCTACTTAACTTCATACATCTTCGGTCGACTAAACATGTTAATGAGAAAGAAGGCATAAAAATTTGGATAACGATTAAATTTAGAAAATATATACTTCGTGCAAGTAAATGATAGACGGTAGACAAACAATAAGTAATGCAGCCGACGTCTAACTCAACGTAGTTCGGTACGATAGACTTAGATAATATTAGGGTGACTCAGTTGTTTCAAGTATTTGAAGATAAACACACGTACGTATCATAGTTTAGTCACCAGAAGATGGAGAGTAGAATATGAACCTACGATTGGAACCAGATATTATTTGCTTAAAGATAGGTATGGATGTTCCACAACCATATAATGAATACATAGCTTAATGTAAAAAAAATAACTAAGCACTACATATTAAGACTATTTACCTTGTGTTTTTCAGCTTTTTTCATTGAACGTTCGTCAGACATCTATAATGCGAATAAGCATCTTAAGTTAATATACATTGTCAAGAAGAAAAGAACAAGTCTCTTGTTTTGTATTTATTCACATGTTTTGTACAGCTGGTAACAAAAAAGGAGTATTACAAGTAGGGCATATCGGATTAAACTCACAAAATACAGACAAACATATCGAACAAACATAACCAATATCAATCAATCGTTTATGACAAAAGCATGCAGCTCGAAAGTCAACACCACTGGATCGACTATCTGGAAGTAAAAGAGATGTTCTCATTTTAGATGATGGCAAAAATACTGACAACAAATACTGTAGTAATCCAGAAACTCTTGGTACTTGCAAGTAAATTCCACCAGTTAGATCTGCAGCCTGCTGAAGAAGACTTGAGTGTCCAAGAGAACTTAGCCCACATCTGCTATTTAAATTATCTGACTGTTGTGGTAACGATAACACACATGTGTCTATTGGAACATGAAGCTTTTGAGCTGTGAACACAGAATTCATCAACGCTAAGTATTGAGAAGAATTGTCATCAGACGCCTTAATAATCAGTATCCGAGAAGAAATCTTTTCACTCCCTTCGCTAAACTCCATAGTCATCTCTAAAGAGTCATTTAAATGCCTTGTAGATGGCTGCAATTCACGACACCGCCGAAGGTAATAACACAATGCTTTTATTATCGCACCAGCCAAAACAATTTGTGTGCTTGTAGAAGAACAGGAGGTCACAAGGTTTAATGCTAGTTGCCTGACAGTGTTATTCATACAGCTAAGTGCGTCATTCTGGCCATCATTTGAAGCACTAGTTGGAGGTTCCGATTCGTTTGGATAAATAAACTTTATTTCAGAAGGTGTAACTCCTATTACTGCTAACTCGTTATGTGGAGACAACATTAAATGACTATTTGCGAAACCAAGAGCTGCCTCAATGCAATTTGGCAAACTAAATTCACTTGTACAAGAACCCCATGAGGCGGGGGTCATATCTAGTACCAACAATAATAGATTTCTTGATTCTGTTGACGACATTGTAGAGATCAAGCAGAAAAATCTAGGAAAATTTGGACAATGATATTCTCGAAATCTTCAGGGGAAACTGATGTTCTTTTGTTTTGCTTGGCAATAGCGATAGATCGAGTAAGGGTCTCTAAGAAATATGCAATTAATCCAGAAAGAACCTAACCTGATAAATAAAGTTCTACTAAGTGATCACAAAGGGAAGCTGCTTCGCTATTAACTAGAAGTAGGAATAAGCTCAAAAATGACATACTTTTCGTTTTCGAATCCACAAAAAATGATTTTATAATTGACGTGGTAATTTGTTCCTAGTGGGTAAACACCGAGAAGCCTAAACATACCATGAATTGTCCTATCAGCTGCTACAGCACCATTGGATGACCGATCTCAGTTCAAATGGTTCAAATGGTTGTGGACGGAATAGAAGAAGCTTTCGCTTAACAGGCTTCCGTGTCTAGTAGCAGGGGATCACCAAATCCTCCAGGCAGGAACCTAGGTATGTTAACAATAAAAGAGGAAAAGAAATTGGTAAATCATAGTGCGATGCTGTCCTTGGTCCTTAAGAATAGGTCAAGTTGCCTCTTGAAGGACTCCTGAGAAGTCGCTTGGACTAGCTCGGCCGGCAGCGAGTTCCAGCTTTTGACAACTCTTAAGGAGTAGAAGTTGTGTCTACATTCCGTCTTGCTATGTTGTGTTTCCAGTTTCTGGGTGTTACCCCTTAGGTTATTGTTCGAACTAAGCTTAAGTAGGTGTTTAAGAGGATGTCCAGAAGTGTTAAGAATACTATAAGCCATTAATAAATCACCTCTAAGACGCCTATATTCTAGTGGGTAAAGGTCTAGTGAACGGAGGCGTTCTTCGTAAGGCTTAGATTTGAGTCCTCGAACTGATTTCGTGGCTCGCCGTTGGATACGCTCCAAAGTGACCTTGTCCTTTTGGAGTGAGGGGGGGAGTACTATGTTTCCGTACTCTAAATGGGGACGGATGAAACTATTGAAGATTGTGTGGAAAGTTCTTCCGTCAAACTGGCCAAAAATGCGCCTCAACGTTACCAGTGCAAGGTTTGCTCGGAAGGCATTTTTGTCACAGTTAGCGTAAGACTTTAAGTCATGGGGCACCAGGACTCCTAAATCTTTTTCGACTTGGGATACTACTAGAGAGGAGTTTCCTAAGTTGTAACTGTAGTTTGCGACATGTCGCAGATGGACTACTTTACACTTTGAAGTGTTAAAGGTAAGTCCGTTATCGTCTGCCCAACTTTGAAGTCGAGTCAGATCCTCTTGAAGTGCCTGTATATCGTCTTGGTTGCGTATCTCTCTCCAAAGTTTCACGTCGTCTGCAAAAAGTAGTAAGTCTGACGTTACCTGTTGAGGAAGATCATTTATGTAGATCAAGAAGAGAAGAGGCCCTAGTACTGAGCCCTGGGGGACCCCACTAGGACATTCCATAGCTTGAGATAAAGTGAAATTAACCCTAACCTTAAAGTGTCGATTTTTTAGGTATGAAGTAAGCCAGTCGATTAGAGGTGGTTTGATACCTAGTCGTTTGAGCTTGTTGATAAGACACAAGTGGTTAACCTTATCAAAAGCTTTTGAGAAATCAAGGTAAATGACATCAACCTTTCCCTTGCGATCGAGGATGCTTGTCCATCTGTCCACCGCAGTCAGCAGGTTGGTTATACAAGAGTAACCCTTCCTGAAACCATGCTGTTGGGGTGAGAAGAAATTTAAGGACAGTAGGTAGTCATTTAGACCGTCGCATATCAGGGACTCCATGAGTTTTGAAGGTAACGACAGAAGAGCTACCGGCCGGTAACTTGAAGGTTCATTGCGTCGACCACCTTTGAAAATTGGTGTGATGTGAGCCAACTTCCAATTTTCCGGTAGTTTGCCTCGGCTAAGCGAGTGTGAAAACATCACGCTAAGCGGCGTTGCCAGGATTGAGGCTGCCTCCCTCAGTATGGCAGGATGAACCATATCCGGGCCAGGAGAAGTGTCAAGTCTTAAGTGCTGCAGTTTCCGGAACACCAAGTCAGCGCTTAGGTCCACTTCAGAAAGTCCTGTGGAATTGCAGATGAAACTGTCGTCGATAAAGTTGATATCAGCCGGTTGAAATGTTTGAGAGTAATGGGCCGCCAGAAGGTTGGCGGCGTCGCCATCGTTGTTGGTCGGGCCGTTAGGTCCTAGCAGTTGAGAAACTCCTGTTTTGGCTTGACGAAGAGAGGCTGCATAACGGAATAGGCTTCTAGGGTTAAAGGCGAATTTGTCCATAAGCTTTGTTTGGTACTGAAGCCTGTCTTCTCTTATAGCCTTCGTGCATGTGTTCCTGATATGTTTGTATTGCCTATACGCTCCATCGTCATTAGTTCGTTTGTATTCCGCCCAACAGTGCCGTTTGCGGCTTAGGAGGCGAAGGGTACGGTTCTTGATTACTGTAGGTGGCTTGAAGCTTTTGGGAACCGTTTGAGGAACTGAATGGTCTGTAGCACGTAAGAGCGTGTGCAGCAAGAAGTCCCAATGACCATCCACATCGATTTGAGGGTGAACATCCCAAGCCACCTGTTGTAGATGGTCATGTAGAGCTCGCACATTCAGCCGTTTAAAATTCCATCGCAAATTATTGTTGGGATACCTTAGCTTAGTTTTGATGACAAAACTGAAGGCTATGACGGCATGATCGCTTTTTCCCAGAGGAGCCAGGATTGAGAGGTTGTCGACTAGGAATTCTTCGTTAGTGAATACACAGTCTAAGCGCGATGGTGTCTGACTGTTTCTCCAACGAGTTGCCGACCTCACATTTTCATATAAGCCCAAGTTATCGATGAGGTTGAAGAACCGAGCTTCAGTTGAGTTGTCGCCTCCAGTGTACGTGTGTTCCGCGAAGTTGACTCTAGGGAGATTAAAGTCCCCTAGAATCAGGATGTGTGTGAAACCGAGACGGATAGAGCGGGCTACTGAAACCTTGAATTTGATGTTAGAAAACAAACCACTATCCGTACCTTACATCTAGATGTAACGTCTTTGGGAAGAGCTAGTCAGTGAGTCCACCTTCGATTGCCAACTGGAATCCACATGCATCCAGATAGGCCACATGGCGCCAGGATCAAGCACAAAAGCAATCTGTAGCTGACCATACGGTTTCAAATTGAAAGCATAAACTGCTTATACATGAGCGCCGCGAGTTTACCAAATAAAATGAATGAGCTACGTGAACTTGACAATGCTACTAATGCTCATCTGATTGGAATATCTAAAACTTGGATATCTTTTTAGGAGCTGGCAATATCTGGGATATCTTTGTTTCGCAACGACAGAAAAACAGGAATTGGGGGTGGAGTAGCCTTATACGCAAGATCATGCCTGGAGGCACATCAAGTTCACAACCAAGAGTTTATCAGTCTTGATGAATCTGTATGGTGCTCAGTAAGATTGTCTACCACCTCTATGTGTTTCGTTGGAGTCATCTAAAGGAGGTGAAAACTCAACTGAAGCTCGGTTCTTCAACTTCATTGACGATCTGGGATTATTCGAGAATGTGGAGTCGGCAACTCGTTGGAGAAACAGTCAGATACTGTCGCGCTTCGAGTGGGTATTTACAAACGAAGAATTCCTAGTTGACAACCTCTCAATCTTGGCTCCCCTGGGGAAAAGCGATCACGCTGTTATTGCTTTCAGTTTTGTCAGCAAAACTGAGCTAAGATATACCACCAACAACAGGCGCTGGAATTTCAAACGGTTGAATATGTCAGCTTTATAGGACTATCTGCAACAGGTGGATTGGGATGTTCACCCTCAACTTGATGTGGATGTTCATTGGGACTTCTTACTGCACACGTTCTTATGTGCTACAAAGCATTCAGTTCCTCAAACGGTCCCTAAAAGCTACAAGCAACCTACAATCATCAAGAACCGCACTCTTTGCTTGCTAAGCCGCAAAAAGTACTGTTGGGCAGAATACAAACAAACTGACAACGGCGCGTACAGGCAATACAAACATATAACGAACATATGCACCAAATCAATAAGAGAAGACAGGCTTCATTACCAGATAAAGCTGATGGATAAATTTGTCTCCAATCCGAAAAGCTTATTGCGCTATGTAGCCTCTCTTCAACAAGCCAAAACTGTAGTTTCCCAACTGCTAGGTCCTATTGGCCCGACCAATAACGACGGTGACACCGCTAAGCTTTTGGCTGAACAATACTTTCGGACATTTCAACCGACCCATATCAACTATACTGATGACAGCTTCATTTGCAACTTCACAGGACTTTCCAAAGTGAATCTGAGCGCTAGCTTGGTATTCTGGAAACTGCAGCGCCTAAGAAAATACACTTCTCCTGGCCCAGATATGGTTCATTCTGCTATATGAGGGAGGCAGCTTCAATCCTGGCAACACCAATCAGCGCGATGTTCTCACGCTCGCTAAGCCGAGGCAAACTTCCGGAAACTTGGAAGTTGGCTCACATCACACCAATTTTCAAAGGAGCTCGACGCAACGGACCTTCAAGTTACGACCGGTGGCTCTTCTCTCTATACCTTCAAAAATCATGGAATCCCCGATATGCGATGTAAGATATGACTATTTGATGTCCTTAAGTTTCTTCTTACCCCAACAGCATGATTTCAGGAAGGATTAATATTGTATGGCCAACCTGTTGACCGCGGTGGACATATGGACAAGCATCCTTGATAGTAAGGGGAAGGTTGATATCATTTACCTTGATTTCTCAAAAGCTTTTGATAAGGTTAACAGTATGTGTCTTATCAATAAGCTCAAAAGATTGGGTATCAGACCACCTCTATTTGACTGGCTCATTTCATATCTGAAAAATCGACATTTTAAGGTCAGGGTTAACTTCAATTTATCTCAGGCTATGGAATGTCCTAGTTGTTTCCCCAGGGCTCAGTACCAAGACCTCTTCTCTTCCTGATTTATATGAATGATCTCCCACAACAGGTGTCGTTAGACTTATTGCTTTTCTCTGATGACGTGAAACTTTGGAGAGAGAT